AGACAAAGCAGGACAGCAACTGTGAAGGTAAACTTTAGGAACGGCATGGCGTTTCTAAAAATAAGTGCCGTCGCCGCGAACGTTGACACCCTCGTGATGTCACGTGTGATAGCTTCACGTGCTTTTATATGTTTGCTTATACATATAGGTATATGTTATGAAATACACGTAATGTCTCGCACGCGCTCCTACTCGCAAGGAACATTTGTATGAACGTATCTTGTATCTTCCGTTCCCTGGGTCGCGGTAAAGTCAAGCTATGACTTTAATTTCCGCAGCGAAATGGCCTGAGTCGAGGAGAGGTTGGGTGGGTTTGTGTACGTGCACCTAGTTTGGCACAAGTGGGTGAATAGGTATTTTTTTTGTTGGTGTGTATTTAACATCCTACTATGCCAAATGTTGATAGTGGGGAGCACAGGTGGTGCATCTGTCAGTCTTCTCGGTTAACCCCTGACACCTTTGGTTCCGTAACCTCCTGCCAGCGAGCCTTCAAACTTCACGTGGCATCAAAGTGCACCTCACCTGGCACAAGCGGCTGGTGGTGACTTCACCACTAAGTGGCGAATGGGTGTGTGTGTATGTTGTGTCTTAATAAACAGCACCTGCCGCAATAGTCCACGCTATAGCGGGGGGAGTATTTTGACGCGTGTGTTTGTGCACCTGTGAATGTCTAGCTCTTGCCAGACACATTTATCGACTTTCTACCGTCTTCGTGACGCAAGCAGCATTATAAGCAGACACGGTCTGGTCCGAAACGTGGCGTTTCTTGCTCAATTTATGGAGTAAGGTAAAACCTTGCATCTTATACATCGTATTCATATACAGTAGTAAGTTGAATGTATCCTAATCAGCTTAAAAATACAATTCCCCCCCCCCCCCCCCATGATCTTCCTTTTCATTATCGTAATCATTGACTTAAAGCTTTCGTGACTGCAGGAATTCATATTCTTTGGGTCTTTCGGTAAAGTCACGTAGATTGGTTCAAATGAAATAACAAGCGGTCGTCATCCTGATGACGACCGCTTGTGTTGCGATCGAAACGTCGTAGTTTTGTTATTTTCTTTGAACCTAACTACGTGACTTTACCGAAAGACCCTAAGAATATCGTAATCCTTTTCATCCTATTCACCATCATTTCCACAATCATCACCACCACCGTAAATCATCCTCATCATCGGACATTGTCCATTCACTGCTGGGTAAATGCGAGCCTGCCGTGCTGGTTATGAGACACGTGGGCTTGGGCAGGACGCCTCCCTAGAGGGATGATGACGGTGGCAGCCGAAGGCTTGGAACGTGCCCGGCAGGGCGACCACCGTGCTGACGGAGCGATTCGGATCATGTGCAAGAATGTTCAACGCCAAGCACGGCCTGGGCAGTCTTTGTCTCCCTTATGACAACCAACTAAGTCCAAACAGACCAGCGCGTGTGCCAAGTACAATCCTCGTGTTTGGTCGAGTCGACCGATAAGTGGCCAAGGCTTACCAAATAGCACTTAGTTGTTGTGCATGGCAGTTCATGGTAGGTGCTAAGGTCAAACACAAGTGCGGTTGCAATTGATAGCAGTGATACAATATAAATACACGGTTGGGCTGCGGTGTTGGCTATTCCTATGATTATGTAAGTGCCAAATTATCACGACCACGCTTCTTCGTCTTCGCCAGAGAGGTCTGTCGATACGACATTCACTGCTTAATGCCACGAGTCGCCACTAGGGTCCCATTGCGTGAGACCTGCTTAGGTTATATTATAACGTTTGCGGACCAGCCCTCTTGTCAATCCACTGCTGAGATGAGGGCCTAAGAACAAATTGGCCAGAATACACCCAATATCAGATTTTATGGGATCTAAGCAGGGCTGAGCCTTGGTAGTGCCTGGATGGGTGGCTCGCCATGTTATAGGGTGTTGCGTGATTACGTTGTCAGCAGAGGACTTGCCACATTAACTCGCTCGCATTGACCAGCGTGGTAAAGTTTGGTCGAATGCCTCCAACGACTAAGATTGCCACCTGTCCAGGATTAATCCGCTACGGGCGTCTTGTGTTCCAGTGGCAGGAACTCGTTTGTCCCGAGATCTTTTTTTCATTTTGTTGAGTTGTATTACGGTGCACTTGCACAGTCTTGATAGCGATAGGCTGACTGAGAAATATGTCCAGGTTTGGTCTTCTGCGGAAAAGGTGCCAACCCGAGCCACAACCCTGCCTTACACTGCACTCTAAATTATTACCATAAAATGTGAGCCTTCTGCCAAACACTCCAGCGCCGTGACCTTCTTTGGTTTCAGCATTTCTATAGCGATGTATTCTTTGGCATGTACACTATAGTGATATTGTTATCCGCACAATAACAACAACAAAAAACATGTTTATCCAGCAAGCCGTAGGATCAGCACTAATAACATTAAACCGCAAAGCGTCTCGGGATATGATTATGATGAAAGAAGAAAAGGGGGGGGGGGGGGGACCGCACAGAACAATACGTGAGCCTTGCTTGGAGCTCGAGTGCAAATCCGGTACGAGTATTGAACCTCCCCCCCCCCCCCCCGATGCCTTGGCGGATAGCCCTGAAGCACAACACCAACGCTTTCTCCACGTGAAGAGCCTATTCGACGGCCGGATACAAAAAAAACCGCTCGCACGGACCGAAAACAAATGACTTCGCGCAAACAGAAATGTCCTCGACAGCAACGGAAAGTGAAACGCAACAGGCGGCGCCAGCATGGCTTTGCACGACCAGATGCCATCACCAATCTCGCGCGATATTCCGACAAGAGCCTTTTTCGGTCACCGGCTCACAACGTCCTCGCAATTCACCAGTGTCCACCCAATGTCGCCAACCCACTCCGATAACTTGGGACTAGGGCACAGAAAATGTTTCGACGTCGTGGGAATGTACAAAAAAAATCTCGAAAATCCCAGTAAATATGTGAGTTACGATATTGGGCGTTTGTATAATTACGAGGAATCTTAAGAACATTTTCTGTACTCGGGTCCCTGGTTATTGATTCTTCGCGTCATATTTACACACTACATACACGCACATATCTGCACAGTCCACATGCTTAAGATTGTTATTGCAATCAAACCTACACAGCACATACCACACGTACTCTATATTCCTTCTTGCAGCACGTGTCATACAAGTGAGGTGCCAAGTTAATATTTTTAAAGGTAATTATTCACTTAAAAGAAATAATAAAAGCTTTAATGGTCAATATTTCCAACTGGAAATTGCTCAAATGATCCAAAGCACTTATTAAGAATATAAAGTGACTTTTTTTACTTTCACGAGTAACATATCGCGGTGTTTTGGCCTGCTGGCCTACTTAGGAAATATCCTAAACAAACATTTTATTATGTCCAACGTATTCGATTTTCCCTGCATGCGTTCGCTGAAACAGAAACTGTATATAACTTTAACAACATTCCTTGGTCTTGGACGCATTAATATCCTGGAATGCTTTCTTATTCTGTAAACAAAATAAATCTGTAGCCTATATATTGTCACATCCCAAATTTCCAATCGAAACGCTCGCAGAGGACAGTGCATCACCGCGTGTTAGAGAGTGGCTGATGGAAGACGACTTCACAGAACTAATTCTGAGACCCTTTCAGTTGTCCCCTCGTCCACGCGAGGTGGTGCACGACGGTTAACCCAAGTATTATTTTTTTTTAATTCGCTGGGCTGTAAATGTTTCATTTGTACAAAAAAACATGTACTTAACGAGAGGGGTTTGTGTGTGTGCAGTCATTGATGACTTGGGCTGAGACCGTTAACACCCCATTCTTAAGAAACCAGATTATTCACATCTAGCTTTAACGCGCATTAAAACGCAGGATATCGGCAGTGCTCATGGTGCATTGTTCCAGAATCTAGATCAGTGGTTCTTAACCTTCACCTGCAGCCTTGCACCCCTTTGGTTCTGAATCGTAAAAAAAAAAATGTTAATAAATATATAAGTTTGATGAAACAAAAAAGTTGTACTTACGTGTCCAGTTCTTTAATTTGCGTTTCGATAATATACCTTCTGAAAATTTCTGGCCATGTCTCGCACCCCCAGAAAGAGCATCTCGCACCCCCAGGGGGTGCGTGTACCCCAGGTTAAGAAGAAGAACCACTGTTCGAAAGGCTATTATGAACCCTTCAGCCACCTACAACCACCTCTTTGGAGCCCATATTTCAAAGTTTGTTTCGAGCCTCGACTGTAACGAGTCGGCTTCTCGCCACACTTTCAACAGTTAAATCGAAATTTAAACTTTTAACAGTGTTTGTTGTTGCGGTTTCTATTGTATCACGATGAGCGGTGATTCAACCTTGAGAGACCGGGCGATACCTGCAGCGTTGTACAATTGCAAACACGGAAATATTGAAGTCGTCCTTTTCTGCCGAAACGGTGACGATACACACATTGAACAGTCCACGTAAATAAATGATTTTTTGTTCTTTGTTATTACTATTGTGCCGGAACAATATATTGTTTCTCTTGATCCTTTAAACCCTGACAGTTACGTAACGTGAAAGCTATACATGGCACGGGCTGGTGCGCGCGCGTTAACATTTATTATTCAGCGTTCCTGGCTGCATCGTGTGACGACCCTCTCTGTCTCTGCGCATGATTTTAAATGTTACAGCGCTCGCGTGCTCCGTCTGCATTGAACTGCGGCACTCATCGCAAGTCGACACCTTGGACACGTGAAAAAAACGCATGCATATTCTGTATGAAAGGGTTAATCTTCGTGTGTTGGTGTCTATACGAGGGGGTGTGTGCGCATACGTGGGGAGCGGTAGCGTCGCGGTTAGCGCGCCGCACTGCGGACCTGGCAGCCCGAGTTCGGTTCCCGCTCACGACCAACATCAGTGAAGATTGAATGAACCGGTCCTGGGCCTCCCCTAGGTCGACTCGGCCTCAAACGAGTACCTCGTTCGGTGTGGAAACATCACCACTCGGGAGATGAAGGCGGCCGGGCGTGGTGCTGGCCACCCACGTGTGACGTGCCGGCCTTCATAGGTGCTCGCCAACCGGCACTTGCCCCAACATTCTGTTAACGCTGCACGAAGGATCTTTGTCTTTGTACGCGGATGAGGCTCGCGAAGGATGCTCCTGGAAAGTTGTCCAGCAACAATGGGATTTGGAGGAGCGACACTCGGCGATGAGCAGAGTGCAAGGCTGTTGAGCAACAAATTGGCACGGTGGTGAACGAAGGTGGCGCATTTGTCAGTCATCAGGATCAGTCCCGTCACCTCATGCCAGCGAACCTACCGCACTTCAAGAGGCCTCAAAGCGCACCTAAGATGACACAACCTACCGCACTTCAAGAGGCCTCAAAGCGCACCTAAGATGACACAAGCACCTTCATCTGCCACTGAATGAAGATGATAGGTCGTTGTTTTTGTGCGTTATGGTCCATGCTGCCTTAATAGATGCTTGCGAACATCACTTGGTCAAAGAGTCTCCACAGTGATGTTGCATCTTTGTATGTGCCGTGATTGTTTGTGTGTGTGTGCATATGCGTGCGTGTGTGCACGGATGCACGGGTTTGCTGTCTCCTCTCGACGACAGAGACGTCGAGAAACACACAGAGAGACAAGAGACACAGACACAAAGAGACGAAGAAGGCACACGTATAAACAACAGGGAACAGAGGTGCAGTGACAGCTTGACACAGAGACACGGGGGTGAAACAGGGAGACAATTTTTGGCCGGAATCAAGGGGTAAGTGAGGGTGGAGCCTCTTGCGCACAAACGGCAGCGCGTACATCTGAGGGCAGCTCGCTCGAAACAAAAAAGCCGCGAGTGGCCACGGCGACCGTGAGGACCGATTCACCGGCTCAGGCCCTGCCAGCCCCTAGGCCTCGTGTTGTGATCCCGACTCCCGTCCACGGGGGACACGAGGCCCGGCGAGCCCCGGTGCAAATCGACCCTCGCCATGCCTCCGCGCTCTCCATCCGCGGCGGAGCTCAGAGACCTCCGCCTCGCCGCGCCTCCAGTTCCTAGACGGCCACCGCCACCGCAGCCGCCGGCTCCTCCGGGTCCTCCGGCCGGCGCTCCGATCCCTGCCCCCGCTCCCGTTCTCTGCTCGGGGCCGAACTGAAAGATCCGCGGCGCTCGCGAGCTGCCGAAGGAGCGCGGCAGGGTGCCCGCGGACCGGCGCGCCCCCGTCGAGGGCGACGCCGGCGGCGCGGGGTGGCCCGTGACGCGGTCGCGCCACTCCTCGGGCGGCCGCGGGAGGGTCTTGCGCCGGGCGGCCGCCAGCACGGCACGAGCCACCATCGCCGGGGCGGAGGTCGCTCGGAAGGCGGCGTCCACGGAGCCGAGCGGGGAGCGCGCCGCCGCCTCCCACGGGGAGAGCCCCGTGGGGGGCAGGCCGGAGGCGGCGGCGGAGGAGGAGGAGGAGAGGGCCCCGCGCGGGGACAGCGGCGACCACGGGTGGGGGTCCGAGTAGGCGGAGAAGGCGTCCTCGGCATGGGGCTTCCACGCGAAGTCCTGCAGCGTGCGCGCGGTGGGCAGGGCGGGCAGACAGACCGACTGTTGGATGGATATAATAATTGTGATGTAAATCGCGAGTAGTTTGAACTTGTAATGCGCACTGTGCTTGTTCTCGCTCTCAGAGAGAGGGACAATGAGGAACGATAGACAAGCGGGAAGGCAGCCGCCGCGCAGTGAGCCGCCACCAACAATTACCCAAGCTCAATGGTCCTTTACATATTAAGCTGCCAACGGCCAATTAAAGGAGTGTTTGCATTCGGGAGATAACCAGAGCACCTGGAGAAAACCCGCACATGCGAGGGGGAAACACTCTATCCCATACAGACAGAACGGGTGGAGAACACATTTTTGCTATATTCTCCTGGCCATGGAAATAGTTTCACAACATTAGTGCGATCCGCCAACCCAAGAGAAACAGGCAGAGACACGAACTGACAGAAAAAAAAACATGGAAAAGACAGAGCAGACTCAAAGAGAGAGAGATAGACTCATGGTCATGGACTGTGACACAGAAACACGGAGAAACAGAGAGATCGGGAGAGATGGAGACACTGAGATATACACACAGGGCGGCACAGAGAAAGATACAAATCAGAGGCAGGCACTGAGAACAAGGACAGACAGGGATAGAGAGAGAGAGACACACACAGAGACATTGAGGGAGACAAGCTCAAATAATATTGTGGCCATGAGCGGAGTTGGGTAGCAGGTGAGGTAGTAAATGTGAGTTTGACAAATTTCCTTCATGCTGCCCCTTGCAAGCGAATTGCACAGTAATACGCCCATGATTCACTTTTATCGGTTATATATATAAAAAAAAATTGCCACCATAAAACTTTTGTTTCCATTTTAGGTGAAACCTAAAAAGTGAAATGTCTGGTCCAGTACTTTTGATTGACTGCCCTGGGATATCAAAGCCGCGTAGCAATGCATTATTGAATCCATCCGTATGGAGCTTTGAGCGTTTTCCCCAGTCTACGCATTGGAGTTTTTTTTCCTTTTCTGGGTTCTCCGGTTTTCTCACAAATGCTACAAAGTCATGAATGTATTTGGTGACTATCGCATTTTAGTGCTATTTATTCAAGCAGGCAATAGCGTTTGCTTCTTTTCGCAAGTGAGATCTGGATGATCGTAGTTACGTGGAACCAACGATGATTAATTTAGTCTTGGCCCATTAACTAATTTCAGCACATGTGCAATGCATTTCGCATTAAAATGCATGAAAATCTACACTGCGTTTGTCGCTGAGAGTAGGATATGTTGTGGATAAAAAAAAATATTTATCTTGTTTATGCAACCGGTGATAGGTTTCATTGAAAGAAAACATGTATTTGAGTTTAAAGTGTAATGATCCAGTTATACGTATTCAGCCCACGTAGCAGTTTTATGCCAAATGTATTGCCCTTAAGCCTCCACCACCCGACAAGATTGTCACGTTATATTATTTATATGTATATAAGTTGTGCTATTTATACACGTGCCAATGAAATGAAATTGATCAGATGCTGACCAATAACGCATCCGACCGTGTCCGTCCGGTGCCCCTGAGCTGAATTGGCTTCCGATTCCCGAACGATTATATTAAAAGGTCGCACTCATTGCACACAAAGTGCTTACCACAAAGGAACCAAATCCTTTGCTGATCTCGTCAAGGAGCACAAACCATCACGCACACTCCGGTTGTCATCCTCACAGCAGCGGCTTTTGGCTGGCCATCGAACAAAGATGGTCGCCGCACTGAGCGCTTTCAGATGCGCTTCTGCGGCCGTCTGGAATGCTCTTCCTTCTAATATTAGGAAGCCACTGGATTCATGCACTTTTAAATCATCTAGACTGAAAACTCGTTTCTATAAAACTGCTTTTTTGTGTTTAGTTTGTTGTCCTTCCCCCACACCTACGATTAGCACGGTTGGCTACGTACAGTGTGAAAGAAGTCCAACGTATATACACAAGGCTCCTCGCTGAATTCAACATTTTAAAAGTTGGATTAAGAAATTTACATTTCGCCCATGTAGCTCGAGACCAAGATTTAATGTGGCAAGTTTACGGCAATAGTCACTGGATGTGGTAACCTGTCCAGGAAAACCAGTGCCAGATTAAGCCAGTGTGGGGCCTGTAGCATATGTTATAAAGGGGCCCTATAAATTCAAACAATTTTTAACTTGAATAGTAAAGTAATTGTACTTTTTAAATTTGCTGTACAGCCAGATAATACGACAAATCGCTAACCTTAAACACCCAGTCGTTCATAAAAGTCGAGGGCGTTATAGTACTATAGTAATAGAGCAAGTGCAGAATCACTGAAGCGAAATTAAAAGCTTGATAGCATTTGGCGCGGGGCACTTGAAAGTGCGGGGCCCGTAGCATTTGTAGCTACTTGTGCCACGAGGAAAATCCGGCACTGGTGGTAACGGTAGCGAGGGACAACTTTGAGTCGAGGCAAAGAAAATTGTTTTTGCTGAACAACGATTGGTCTACTCAGCACACAGCACACAACCTCCGGAAGTCATGTGATCTTCGTCGACGATTCTTATTGGAAGTTGCAATCCCATATGACCACCAGGGGGAGCAGCGATCACGTTTGCCAGAATCGGGGGCGACTAAATCTCTTTTAAAAATTGAGAATCGTGCTGTTGCCGGTGACAATCACCAGCAACATTCGCCCGCAATCTTCTTCAGTTTATCGTGGGCCTTTAGGTTTATTCTAGACATCGTTGAACGATGTAGCCATGTGAACTGAGCGTATCATCACTCGCCAGACAAACGGCTACAACATCCAGCAGCTGCTAGCCAACCGCGTGGCTCACTCAGCAAGTCGTGATAAGGATGGGACGGTTCTGAGTTCAAATCCGAGTCGGTAGTTGACTTAGCAGTTCAAGACATTGAGTCGTTACTAAAATGAGAACCACATCGTGGAAAATCAACAGCTGTGGATGTACTCAGTCACACCACGGGAATGTGGAACTTCCACCACTAAATCATGGTTATAAATGGAAATATAAGTGCCACCCAGGGCTCAATTGAGCACGGGCCCACTTTGGCTTTTTATAAATACATATGTAATGCGATAATGTTTAACTCTCTGTCAATCCACGGCTGAATGAAAGCCTTTCCACAATGTGTTGGTTATCGGGGCTGTTGACCATACTTCACCACGCTGGTCGGGTTGGAGAAGGGAGCGTATTGAGTCGCCCCAGGACCACTTAAAATGTCACTCCCCACTGACCTTAACTTTGGCCAGGAATCAAACTCAGGTCCGCTGGGTTCGTGGCGCAATGCACTAACCACTCCGCCCCCACACCCAGTGTCGGATTATAATGATCCTAGTAGCAAACGTACCAAATGCTACGGGTCCCGCACTTTGATGGGCCCCACGAGAAATGCTTTCAAGCTATCAATTCTGGTTCAGTGTTTCTGCACTTGCTCTATTACTATAGTACTCTACCGCCTTCGACTTTTATGAACGACTGGGTGTTTAAGGTTTAATCTGGCTCTATAGCAAATGAAAACAATACAATTTACTATGCAAGTAAACAATGTATGTGTTTTTTTTAGGGCCCCTTTATAACATATGCTACAGGCCCCGCACTCGCTTAATCCGGCATTGCCCACACCCCAATACGCAGGTCGTGTAGCCTAAAACAAAGAGTGATTGAGATTATCAGGCCAGTCGGGCTGCATTGTTCTCTGCGTCAAACAGACAAATGGCTATGGCTTCTTGCAAATGTGGCGCGGGACGGTCCATTGATTAAGATTTATTCTTAAGATTATGACGCACGCTTCCAAAACGCGGCGCGTAAGATCCGACGATTGTAAATGAGTGCCGTAATAAGTTCACGTGACCGCAGCAGCAGCATTCCACGAGAAGCGCTGCGAATCTCCGGCCCTAGGAGGGAGTGAATCAGCTCGGAGTCGTTACGTCACCCTGGGTCTATCCGAGCTGGCGACTCTGCGTTTGGCCTCATTACAGGGACGCGCCAGATGCACAGACGGATACACGATACTGTAGGAAGATGAATAAGGGAATGGGTGAGTTAGCCGCGCTGGGATCACCCGTACTAGGAGCTTGGGGATCTCATTCTGACCTCCATGGTTTCGGTACGCGAGGTCGCAATAATAATGTCAGTTCACGGGCGGTGCCACGTGGTTTTGTTCAGGAGCCCTGCGACACGAGGTCAGCTGCCTGCCAAGGCCAAATGCAACGGCTCAGTGAGATCGGAGCCGATCCTAGGCGCCCGCCTCATCTCCCTTCACTCATCCGGACGGACCAGTGTGGTGAAGTATGGTCAAACAACCCCCATGACCGACGCGGCATTGAGAGGCATTCATGCATCGGTAGAATGGCGAATGGGGCTGCAGTATATTTTACTGGGATATATTTGTGAGCCTCACATTACTACCGTTTTCAAGGTGTTACATTTTGACGATAGGTATGTCAATTTGATGGAATTTCACCAGCTAACAGAGAAATGAAAATAATGCTATGAATTAAAATGCGCTTTGTTTATTTATTTAGCAAAGCCTCACCGAGTCCCACACTCTTATAGGAGGTTAGTGTGTTTTAGATTGTGGGCCACTTCCGTTGCTGAGTGTTTGGCTTCACGTTGGAGGAAAACTGAGTACCCGGAAGACAACTCATGCAACGGAGGAGGGTAACGCCAAAAGCTCTGCACAGATAGATTCACAAAAACACTGCTCCACTGGCATCTCCTGATATCCCCCATGCACTAATCAGCCTCAGCTAGGCTTTGCCACCTGTCCCGGAGTTCACGGGACACCCACCCCCTTGTTAAGGCAGCTGTCCGGAGAAATGCGTAAGTCTTCCCAGAAGATTTAAAGTCCCGGCTCTTGGCAGTTGCGCAACAATTATGATAATACGCCACTCGAGACGATGCAAATTGGCATGCAGTTCTACCCTCTTCCGGTATTGTCAGACATTCTTCTCCCCGTTGATGTCCACGCAAGATGTTTTTTTTTCAATTAACCTCAGGAGGTGG